GTGGCATGCGCAGCACATGCCCAATCCATTTCCATCTCTTCTTCTGGACTTGCTGTGTGATTGGTACTGTTCGTGTTCTTCTACGCAACTCGTAGTTTGAGATTGTCTGGGGCTAGTATATACGAAGAATCCTACGAATTGAAAGATCACTTCGTAGTTTTTTTCCAAGTATAATTTTGTCTTTTATAATCGATAGTATATTACATAGTTTAGTCATAATTGCAAACTTATAAAAATTACTCTTGAAATTATTTTCTATGTCCGCTTAACTTTGTAATTCAAGCGAAAACGTTGATATCAAGCACACTATTATTATTATTTCTGGTCAACAGGAATGTAATTTTGGGCACCTTTCATGCGCTCTGGTACTCGTCAAAATAGCTTTAAATTTTGTTCTAATTACTATCGAAAAGTTTTTCAATTTGTAGAGAAATTTTTTGACCTAACAAACTAACGCAATCTTTAAAACCTAAAAAACATTATTACAGATAACTGGACAAAGATAAACAGCGATCCTGTCTGTTTTGGAACTAAAGATAACGACTATGGATCATTTGCAATCCAAGAGGCTGGTCAAATCTACACATTTAAACTTGTCCATACAAGTGGCTCAGTGACATGTGTAACTAATTTAGAGTCAACAAAGTGGGGATGTTCATACTCAGATTATGGAGATTACAACCTAATGACAGTGATGACTTACCGTAATGGCGTTCTACAACTTGCTGAATTCGTGAGGAACATCAACGAGTATAGATATCAACTTGACGGTTTTGATGTCAACTCACCCACGCTTGTGTTTAACCTTCTTCCCACTCCACTGTCTGTGTCTAGGTATCAGGAGTTCCAAGTATGGTATGGACAAGACTTGGCTGGTTTTACCGAGGAAAATAATGCTGGCGAGACATGCACAGACGTCTATGCTTTGTACCCTTTAAACTAGATTTAGTCTGAGATCAATTCTAGATTTAACCATAAGTGCTAAAGTTAAAATCTGCAAAGTGAGATAAACCATGAAAACATTTCTGGAATATAGTTGGGTTGTGAGACCGAAAATAAGACGCGAGATGACTAAACTTAAGGGAGCACTCTTACGAAACCGCCCTATAATTTGAAAACCCGAAAAATTCAGTTATTTCATTATAATATGAATTTTTAGCGATTAATAAAGCCTTTTCAATAATAATTTTAGTTGAAAGTCAATTCTAGGGCGAGAAATTACGATTTGAAAACCGTTCCGCCATTAATTTTCGTAATCAC